GATACCCTACGTCTATTTTTACCTGCAGAATCAACTTGGCTAGAAAGACAGTCTGAAATTCAACGCTCACTAGTTGGCAGGAATCTGGAGTTTTGAAATCTGAGCCACAGAGACAAGGCAGTTCTTTCAACACCACTGCAATTGAATACCTGGAGTCTTTGAAATCAATACATTGACCACTGTTTAATAGAATATTATGTACCGATTTAGAGATAGTTATTAGATTTTTTAAACATAGAATAACACTGATTTTCTGGTCTGCCTCAGCACAAGCATCATATTACAAACTACCTACACAGAAACACAGGATTTTAATAAGACATCAACTGAGTAACTTAGTTAACTCTGTGGTTAAAGGAAAAGTCCATATTAGAGGAAAACAATAAGCATCATCCACAGCAAGTCTTGTGAATCATCTGGTCAGACAAACAGGGTATAAGAAGCAGCCAAAATGTGGGATAACAGAGAGCTCATATCTTTTAAGCAGCGAGACAAATGAAAACAAAGTCATTATTATTATAAAGTTATAACAAATACAGTAGAAAAAAATTAGTGATGTATACTGAAGATGAAAAGCACAAAATTCTAAAACAAACTTAATGGCAGCAAACCCATGAAGAGACTGAAAATCAATGAGTGACAACTTTGAAGTTCCAAGAAAGAAATTGTAAAGCATCTTCATTTTGATTTGGTGCACTGCTTTACTTTGTAATTAAATTCTTTCATACAAATATTTCAAAAGACATTCAGGATGAAATAAAGATGTCAAAAAGGACAGCAGCAAAGCAGATGCTGGGCCAAAAAAAACCCAAACTAAACCAAACCAAAACATATATTATTTAAATATAAAATGAAACATGAAAACTGAAGTGGATGGGATCATACCTTAGTAGGAAACCGGAGGTTTTCAATAGGACTGAGGTCATGAACACTCTCCTGAGGACTTCTCAGACCCTTTAAAAGAATTTTAATCATCAGTTAATGTTGTTTACTTTACATAACTTGCAATCAAACTGCACAACTCTCGCCTGCTGATGATGATTATAAACCTGGAAGTCCTTCAATAAACTGAAAGAGGCTTATTCTATAAAACCTTAAATAAGACCACTGGTGTATTAATTACATTCCTCAAACAACTAGGCGTTTCCAGTTTTATGCTGCAACAGTTCTCTTCAGTAACATCCACGTAGCTAAGTCCACTTACTCCTGACAACTTCTAGATGTTTAAAAAATGCAAACGTTCAAAAAGCATAATGTAATTTATTCCCCTAGCTTAATGATTTAAAGGAATCAAATAATCAAATTTAAGGTAAGTTCTACCTGCTCTGTAGCATGATTATATTATTTTTGTATGATGGCATATTCCTCAATTTACCATGTAAAACTATTAGGACACATTTTACATGTGTATAACTAAACTGAAAAAGATGAATAATTCACATTGGCTCTTTTAAATAATTATTATTCTTTCAAAAGCACATAACCACATGAACAGAATATGCACTAGTAGACAAAATCTACAGGAAGCATCTGTAACCAGCCAAGTATGTTTGCTGAATGTCCAATACATTTACAACTTTATGAGGCAATAACAAAGAGAAAGTTTCTTAGCACACTTTTTGCTAGCTTTTGAAGCAGAAGTGAACTTGAACATTCAAGTTCCAGATATGTTTCTGACTCCAGCCTTCCTTTGAGACCCCAGGCAGTTCACGAGAGCTCTGAGATTCAGGCATATCCTCCCCCTATGATACTAAGCATATTACTCATAAGTCCTTTTCACACCTGGGGTACCAATGCTTTCTCTGAAGGCAAAGGAGCTATGACATTACTACACAAGCTTGCAGTAGAAAAGTCTTTACTTATTCTCCAAAACTGAGAGTGTATTTTACAAGTTCATCACTAGTGGTAGCCACCACACTTCACAATTTCATTCCCCTACTAAGCAAAACCTCCTCATTCTGGTTTTGAGTTCCAGATTTTCTTGGGCTTCATTTGACAACATCCTCCCTTGCCAGTTACTACCAGCAAGGGCAGCTGATCACCACGGATCTGGAGCTCAAGGCAGGTAGCAGGCAGCACAAAGCACCTGTTGCAGCTTCTCATACTTCAATCAAAACCTCCCACAAACACCCCAAAAACTGGCAGTAAAGGAAGCTCATCTCCACCACCAGTTAAAACCTGCCCTTACTGAATGTTGCACAGGATTTCACCCTTTCCCAAAGGCTGAGAATTGCTGAAGCTGTACCATTTTCAGCCTACAACATTCCCATGCTGGGCAGCCTTCCCACAAGTGCTCCCACGGACACGGCACTGCATCCTGTGCGGAATGCAAACAAGACAGGACCCGGACATAGAAAAGGGCTCTAAATGGCTCCTGAATGAAAACAAGCCCATCAAACCAGAACCAAACAAAGCCCTCGGGACAGAGATCTGCCAAGAAAAGCTGAGGTGAGCGCATCACTCCCGGAGCAGCGTCACGGTGAGTTCCCTCGGCAGGCACAGGGCCCAGAGCGAGCTCAGGCGGAGCCCCCAGGCCCAGAGCAACGCGGACGCACGGCTACGCACCGGGCGGGCTGACAGGAGCACGACGGACAGCTCAGCCGCCCCGTGCCGCCGCACAGCTCCCCCAGCAGCTCCAAGCCCTCGCCTCCCTTCCCACCGGACACGCCGCGACCGACAGACAAAGCCACGTCGTAGCACCGCGGCCCGGCGCCCCCAAAATCACGCTTCGAGAAAGGGACAGCCGCACCAACGCGGCTCTCCGCCGCGCCCGGCCTCGCACCGCTCACCTGCCGGGTCATCAGCGACTTGATCTTCTGCATGGCGGCCCCGAGGCGCCCCGCAGCCCCCGCGGCAGCGCTACGGCCGGGGCCGGCACGGGGAAGCCATGTTGGACGCCACCTGACCGCGCCCGCCCGTCCGCCCGCGGATCCCTGGGAGCCGTAGTCCTGGGGCGCCCGGGCGCCCTCAAACTACAAACCCCGTCGGCCCGGCGGGGGAAGGAGGGAGGATGCGGAGGAAGGCGGGCCGCAGCGAGCGGGGCGGGGTGCGGCGTCAGTTCATTCCGCAGATGGGGAATTGGGTGGGAGCGGCGGGTGCCGCTTAAGGGCGCTGTTAAAGCGGGTTACCGAAAGTGTGGCTTGCCGTCCGCCCGTCGTCACACCGTGTCCTTTCGGGGATGGGGTGAATTTCCTCTCACGCCACGTGTGTCCCTGGGGGTTTTAGCACGGCGTATTTAGGCTCTGAAATCAGTTGCTAGAAGACAAAATGAGAATGCAGTTCCGCATGGCCAAAACGGGCTTGTGTCGGTACCTGGCCGAGAGCTGTGGTTCCCCATCCCTGGAGGTGCTCCAGGTTGGGTCGGATGGGCCCTGGGCAGCCTGAGCTGGTGGGGGCAGCCCTGCCCATGGCATGGGTGGGAGATGGATGGGCTTAGAGCTTCCTTCCAACCTAAGCCACTCAGTGAGTCTGTGGTAGCTTTGTGTGAGCTATTTGGTGTAATAAATGCCAGTGTATTAACAACATCAAGGACATATCCTGGAAATAAGGGGAGGTACTGACTTGAAATATGTATCTCTGCTAATCTGTTGTTCTTCTAGAGTTTGTTTGTTTGTTTATTATTTTCTTCACCCACATCAGACATTTAGAACACCAGCACTGACTTCATACCAGTGAGAAGGCTCCCATTCATTTCAGTTAGAAATTCATTGGAATTTATGACAAATATTTTATTACATAATGAAACTGAGCAGATAATAATTTCTAACTCGTTTTATAAAAGGTTGCCATTTGATACATGTAGACTGCAGCGAAGTGGATTAAACAGGTTATAAACAACAGCCCTGGGGAAGGCAGGGTGGGGGGTACCCAGAGCCCTTGTGGATGTGCACAGTGCTCTCTTCGTCTGCACTCTTGTGCCAGGCAATGACATTATTTCTGCTAGGACTGCTGAAATAACATGCATTACATTTGGTCAAACAGAGCTGGTAAAAATTCTGGAAGGGTCTGGGCGTTTTCACCTCCTTTTAAGTGAAGCAGAAATCAAACGTTCATTCCTTACGGCAGTGGCTTAGCACTCTGCAGGACCCTGAGCACCAGCACAGGCACACAGTGAGGGGGATCTGTTCCCGCTGCCACCCGTCCTGCACAAGGCAGGAATTTGTTCATCCGTAACAGCGTGTAAGTGCTGCGTAACAAAAGCTTAACGTGTGTTTTTCTGTGGATAAACCATCTCTGTTGATGCAAATATTTGCTGTTGCAAACTGTTTCTGCACATGTAAGTTGCAGGAGGGCTGTCTGGTGTGCTGCTGATTAAGTTTGTACAGTGAGTGGCAGCCTTGGACAAAATCCAAATCATACATTAATATTAATATTAAACCGATGTAAGTTCGCTCAGAATAAACAGTAATCAGCAGCTAACTTAACAGCTCTAGTGGGTTGTGCACGCAACTACAGGACTCTTTGTTAGATGATTCCTGATGGACACTTCACATTACTAGTTGCTCAGAGGAGGGGAATGAAATTGTTTCCCTGTTACACGTATGTTAAGGAAGAAAATGATAATAATTTAGTCACAGCTTTGTATTTTTTAAATATTTTTCTTTAAAAAATAGAAGGAAAGAAGAGACAGTCAATGGAAAAGTTCTCACCTGAAAAAAAAAAAAAAAAAAAAAAAAAGAAAAATAAAAAAGAAAATCTATATACTAATGTACCAAATACTACATACTAATTTGGAATGAGCAGAACCATCTAGCAGCACAGTCATTTTTATAAAACAGTGTAACTAAAGGATGTTAATACCTATATAACCTATCTGTTGGGTGTGTTCACCTATTTTTGATAATTCAAGGTACTCTGTATTATTCTGCGGCTCATTTATTATATTCTCTGTCATATTTACTGCGGCTGCAAGGGAAGGGTTATGGTGAAGTCAGAGGCAATGAAGATGGGTGCTCATCTAACAGGTGCTCCACTCCCTTTGTTCTGTGTATACACATATTCAAATCAGACCGGGCTGGGGACAGGATAGGGCCTGTTAACTCGTTGCTGATTTTCCTAGCAAATAAACCAGCAGGTGCTGGTCCCAGCTCCGACTTAGCACTGAGAAGAAGGTGGTGTTTGTATGGGACAGGATGCTTTCATGGAGCCCTCTAGCCAGCTTATTTTGTGACTTAAAGTGCCAAGTGTATTTTCTGCTTGTAGGTAAGGAATTGCATGTGTTATGTTTGAATGTCATTGTTGAAATTTGACTTGTTTTTATACTCCTAAATTTTAAGATATTTCTCTTGTATTGTCAGATACTTTATTTTAAGAAAGTAGCCTATAAGTTTTAATCAGATAAAATGTTTTATGGATGGAACTGAAAATTTTAGGAACTGACAAAAATTAAAGCTGCACGTAATCTGTAAATAAAGCATTGGCATTATTACATATCTTTTTTCCTGTTTTGTTAAGCAGTATATGCATACTGCATTGTTTTTAACAAGTAAGACTTGACAGATTCTGAGACAAAGTTTCTATAGAAGATGTTACACATCTCTTTAAAAATGCATTATGTTATTACAGTGTTTATAGGTTTTTCAGTTCACTATCATGCCTTGTATTTAACACCTAAAATTTGTTTATATTTTGATGAATTTTGTATTAAAATTAAATTAATCTTTCAGTCAACTGAAGTTGACTGAAGAAGTATTACATTAACAGTAGAATTATTCAGCATTTGGTTGCAGATTCAGCATAAGTATACGTTTATCGGTACACTTGATAAAAAGCAGATTTCTGTGCTCTTTTACTGGAATATTCTCTGATCAAAGGTTAGATAAAGCTGTATTGCTACAAAGTCTTGTAATTTGTTTCTTATATACTTTATTGTTTTCAAAGATATCAACAGAGGGAATATATTGCAAATATGCTACATACTTTTCTGACAATTTTTCTTTTATCTTTTTCACGAACTTCATATACAGTCACTTGGTTTCCTTGATTTTGAGCTAAGTACTTTGTCAGCAGCTTTGGCTTCTTAGCCATAGCAGTCTTTAATGAAGATTATCAGACTTTAAAAATGAAATACCTGTCTGATAAGAACATGATGAATATTCAGTTCTTTATCTCCATTACAAGATTGTTGAACATTTCTGATTAAGATTCTACAAGAGATATTGGCCATCATTGTTCACTAGAAAATCGCATCTTACAGTCTTACTCAGATAGAAAGCTTTCCTAGTGTGAAAAATGCATAGCCTGCATTTTTATCATGACGAAAATCAGGTGTTTGGAGCATGACACAAAGAACACCAGAGGAATTGACCTCCAAGGGCAGAGTTAAGTCAAATAATGAAGCTTGGTAGAGCTTGTTCTTGGACAAAAATTCCGAACTTGGAAAGAATATGCCTTAATCCCTTCTGCTGCAAACGGTAGTAGAGGAATAGCAGATTCTTTAGTCCATTTTATCTTTTTTTTTTTTTTTTTTTTTTTTTCCGAATTGACATATTTGCAGAAATTTTGGAAACTATTGCCAGTGACATTGTATACAAGTTCAGGGGTTTTGGAGTGCTAAGGAGCTAAGTGATCACTCCAGTAAAATGTGACTGAGGGTCTGATTTCACTTCGATAAGGAGATGTGCATCTTAAATTCGGGGAATGATAAAACCTCAGTAAGAAGGTTTCAGTTTATGCAGTAAACTCAAAAGTTATGTCATAGTTTTTATTTAAACTAAAGCTGCAGCCATTGTTTTATGTCAACAGTAATCCAGTTGTGCTTGCTAATACTGGTGGCAGCAAAGTGAGATGGAAGAAAACACAGATCACTGAGTTCCAAGTGGAGGTCATTTCTGTACCACCTATTGGTTTATGGGCAATGTACAAAAATAGTTTTTGGAATTCTGTACTCTTTGAAAAATATCTATTGTTCTATTTAGAATGCTAAGGGATAAGTTTGAGTTGTATGGAATTTGTGCCTGATGAGAAAGAAGTACATTTTGCCACACTGGCTTCTTATATCCATAAATTAAGTCTACTATTCCAGAGCATAGAAGATTTGATCACTGTTAAAGCAGCAGTCACCCAGCACGGCTGCCATGAGCCCTTTGTCAGAGCGCCTTTCTCTAGTGTCGGCTTGGAGCCTCAGTGGCTCTCTGTGAAGCCGCCTCAGGAGACAGCAGCACCAGCCATCACCCAGAGCTGCTCCCCAATGGGCAGGAGTCCTCTGGCTGGGAAAAAAAATGGGGCTTCTTCCCTCACTTTCCCTCATCTTAGCTGAAAGAAATTCCTAACTGACCTCCCAATGTCTTCCCATGCTGTTGAATGGAGCCACTTTTTCCCACAAGTTTATTTACAGTTTCTCTTTCCTACACCCTTTTTTTTTTTTCCAACTCAGAAGAAATTAAGTTATTTAGCCACCAGTTTCTTTTTCTTCTTCTGTGATGGCAACAGCATTTGTTCTGATAGTCACTGTTATCCTTCTGCTCATTAGACCTGCTTGGATTCTGATACTTTTCAGCACAGATCTGTAAGAAATATCAATTGTTATACATATTTTGCATTTACCACTGCTGCTTTTACTGGCTTCTCATCATACGTCGCAATCATTTACTGACAGCTAGAGAAACTCCAAATTTGAGCACTGTCATGTGCAAGGAATGAGGAACAATATGGCCAGATCTTTTAATCAATCATTTACAGATTTCCCAGTATTTGTAGAGATTTCTTTTACTTTGTTTAAGGAAATTTAAAAATTGGAAGGTGTTAGGTAGCTTATATAAAATTTACTTTCACCATTAAATATTTTGTGAAGGTATTTACTGAGGAATTATTCTCTCAAGCGGAAGTTTGATTTGCATTGTAAGGTTTGCAGGAAGAAAACTCACTTCTCTTAAATATTAGAACAACTCATCTTCCATTAACAAGTCAGCTCGTCCCTAAGAGTCAAACAGCATTTCAAAAACTGCACAAGAACAACACGCCACAAATACTTTGAGAAGTAGGGGAAGAGGTTTCCGTTTGATGGGCTTCAATTGCTTCAGGTTTTTTATCTAAAAAAGTCACGCATGCACTCACCATGCTCCTGTGCATCCTCCAGTTAACTATCTCTGTATCTTTTCTACCCTTTTCCTTCCTTTTTATCCCATTCTCCTCCCATGTCAGCTGACTCCTTGCTGTTCTCCCCACACCAGTGTCCATGCAACCTGAAGTTCTCTGCCTGCTTCTTTTTCAGTTCCCAAGAAGTCGGGTATTTCTGTCAGGAGGTTAAACGTCTTTGCACACATCACCCCTATAGCATTCTACCATGGGACTGCACCAAGCTGCTTCCCTTTTTAATTCCTCACTCTCGGCAATGCTGCAAGCTCCTGGTTGGCTTGTGTTGTTCAGTTGTATGAAGAGTGAGGCAAAATTATTCATATTTTTGGAGTTTGTCATTTTCATAAACCTGACTAGTTGCTAAATGAACAGAATATGACCAGAGATTCCTTAGCAAACTCATGTAATGTTCTATAAATCTGCCTAAGGGTGACAAAAGAAAAAACAATTCTAAAGGAAGAGAAAGCCAGACTAGTTAAAGGGAGCCATTTTGCACCCTCAAGGTGCAGGATTCCTAGAAGACAGGATTCATCATGGGACTAGAGATCTGCTTTTGTATGTATCAACAGAAAACTTCAATTCTTCTTTTTCCTATGATCCAAATACATTTTTTTTGCAAGATTATTATGTTTCTTGAAGTATTAAGTATTAAGTTATGTTTCTTGAATTTTGTCTGAAGCATAAGGTGCATGTAATAATAACTATATCATTTCAAAGAGGGAAATTTGTGAAAGTGAGCCTTGTTAGATTTTTCAGATGGTTTCTCAGCGTAGCTGGAAAAGCAACATTAAGAAAATTCTCTCTGGATAAACACAAGAAAAGAAGTCCTAAATTTGAGCTTGTAGTCCAAGACTGTATAGACAATACGAGCTCTGCAACCTGAGAATATTTTAAAATGAAAATATTTTAAACATTAAAGTAAATTCACCTGTCCTCATTTTTGTCAAACTTTCAACAGTTTTTTATAACCAGGAATCAGAAATATCCTTTCAGGTTTGGCTTTTTATGTACTTTGACACTGGGTATCTATAGCTAAATCCTATTCCAATAAAATCAACGAGCATTTCCCCATTTCTTACTTGAAATCTGAAACATAATCATAAAAAAGTTTAAGCTTTAACTCCGAGAGTTTTTTCTTTGTGAGAGTTCCTCATTTCTGTTTTCCAATGTTCCCATTAGTGCTTTGGGTGTATTTGTTTGTTCCTTCATTTTTATGCAGGTATTTGTTCTGCCTTGAAGCTGACAGTACCATCTCATACTATCCATGGTATCGAGGGGCAACCACTCCAGCTCACTGTTGACTACAATTTCAACACTACAGCTTGTGAAATCCAAATAATTTGGCTGTTTGAGAAGCCTCGGAGTAATCCAAAATACCTGCTTGGCTCTGTAAACCAAACAGTAGTACCAGACTTGGAATATCAGCACAAGTTTACCCTCATACCACCTAATGCATCTTTGATGATCAATCCATTACGTATCAGTGATGAGGGCAATTATATTGTAAAAGTCAATGTTCGTGGGAATGGGACAGTAGCTGCCAGTGAAAAAATTCACGTAGCTGTTGATGGTAAGTTACTAAAATGTAGCATCTTCAGTTTGAAAATAAAATTTACATAGCTCTGAAGTAATGGTTCTTGGAATCCAATTATAGTAGTGCACTATTTAATCGAACCATGCACAAATAAGTGCCAACAATTGAGTTATGTTATTTTCTACTGCTGGAGGGAATGCTACAATATGTCACCTTTAAACAAATTTAAGTTGTTAACTAATATTTCCTGAACTTAAAAAAAAAAAACACCTAAGGAGTTTCAAAACCATTGACTAATATGAGAAATGTAGGAAATAATGTTTCATAAGGCTCTGCTATGTTATCAGACAGGATGTATCAATTTTCAATGTACTGCAATTTATGGATTATATGGAGGGAGCCCTGATCCTGGTTAGACTGAATTAATTAAATGAAAGAGACATTAATGTGATACAGCTGTGGCTGTCATTTCACTCCCATGTCTATGTCAGGCAGTAGCCATCCCCATGACTTGGCCAGCAGTGAGTTTCAGTCACAGTGTCAGCCTCGCAGCACTACTGGGGAAATCCCTCACTGTGGGCAACATCACCCATTCTACTCTCTTCACTGCTGTGGCTGCAGGGTTTTGTTTATTAGACCAGAGTTGGAAGCAATGATATACCCAATCTCAGCCTCTGTCATATAACCAGTAATATAAACAGTCTAGCTTTATTTAAGTACTGGGAAAATTCTTACCAGATGAGAATACAGCCTTCTTTTTTTTATTCTTTAACCATATTTAATAAACACACTTTGAAATATGGATACTTTCCAGAGAGGAGGATGGCTACTATTTGTGTCATTTTGGCAGTGAAGACTGTAATGTACTAGTAGTCAATTTTATAACTCTTCATATCTCTTTTTTTTATAGTACCTGTCACACAGCCAATTGTGCACACTGAGCCATCTTCAGGGGTAGTGGAGTACGTGGGGAATATTACGTTAAAATGTACCGTGGGAAAAGGCACAAGGGTAGTTTACCAGTGGATGAAAAATGGAAAGCCTCTCCATGCTGGCCCTAATTATACTTTTTCATCAAACAATGCTACGCTTCTAATTGTTCCTGTTGCAAAAGAAGACATTGGGAACTACAGCTGTTTGGTGTCCAACCCTGTCAGTGCAATGGAAAGTGAGAGAATTGCACCAACGATATATTGTGAGTACATGAAATATTCATAATTACCTTTGTGTAAATGATCTGGTTGAAAAGAGTGCCTCTGACTAAGGTAAAGAGACAGAAGACAGTTGAGTTAACATTATATGTGAGCTTGCGTTCAAAATAAGTTTGTAGCAGCTATAACTTATGATAGTGTAATAAAAAGTTCTCTCAGTGTTACATTGTTGTGAAGATCAGTCTGAACTGCAGAATCCACATATGAATTTCAGGTGTTCCACATGGGCATCTTCAAATATGGAGGAAGTGTGTGTCAGAGGAAAGCAATCAGAATTATATACAGAAAAATCTGATTAAAATAGAGACAGAAAAAGGTATCCAGAAGCTGAGTGGAGGAAGCATCAGGCTGATGGAGTGCTACTCATGGTATTCCTCAAGATCATTTTGAGTCCAATCCTGTCTAATACTTTCATTACTGATATCAAAAGACTGGGAGTATGTCAATGAAGTTTACCTGTGACAATAACCTGAGAGGTCTGAACAACAGAGTCATAGAATTGGTATGAAATCTGTTAAAAACTAAAAGGACATGCACTTGGAGAATAAAAAAATCATGAACTTCTGCTGATGGAGATTTGTATGGCAATAACCAAGGCAGTGTATCTGCCTGATTGAGCTCATCAAAAGACATCTAACAGGCATAAAAAAGATGAGATAACAAGTTGAATACTGTATTCAGTACCTACACAACCCAGAGGAATAATATGGAACTGTACAGAAACAAAACAAAATGGAATGGAGATCCTATCCATGAGAACAGGCCAGGAGAACTCAGTTTGGTTGCAGAAAACAGACTCTGAAAGAGGTGTTTGCTTTTCATATAAAGTGGGAAACACGAGGGAGCAAGATTTATGTAAAGATTTATGTTGACTGAAGAATAAACTGTAAGACAACCATATATTGTGACTGGAAATTAGATGTTTTCCAGTTGTTGGAGTAATGAGATTTTGCAAGAGCTGTGCGCATTGCTATTGCTAAGGGTTGACAACTGTATGAATGGCATTCATGCGGTGTTGGATTACTGCAGCAGAAGCCTGAATTCAGTGGTATCAAATGTTCCTTCCAGGCCTATGTTCCCAAGGATTCATTCATGTCATTTTAAGATCATATGCTTACAAAATACAGAGACAACTTAGGTTTTGGTTCATTTATTATTTTGTTGTTGTTTACTGCTGATTTACACGGGTCCTCCAGTAAGTAGTGCTGAGAAAACTGTAATGGTTTAATGTAAGTGAAATGAGATTTTTAGGTAAGTAAGATAATGCAGAAGCCAAGAAAGAGTGCCCATCCTCTATCTAGTTTGAAACTTTCTGTTTCAGATAATGAGTGATTTGTGTGCCTCAAACCCTTTTTTTAGCTGTATTGGCTTAATAAAAGAAATTGTTTCTCTGCAAATATACCTTTTTTGTTCAATATACCTAATCTCTGTGAAAAATAGCTTTTCAACAAGCTAATTTAGACTAGAGGTGTGAGGATGAGAAAACTGTCAAGCCGGGGATTCCTGTTCTGAAGATCTAATAACTCAATGTCATGATCCTGTCAATACTCAACTGTAATAGGCCATGATGAGCAGGTTATGATGGATATGAGCCTCAGGTTTGGCTCATATCATTGCCTGCAGGACACTGCTATGAAATATATTTAAGGGTTTGTGCTGGTGCTCTTTTAAGGTTTGCTTAATGATCTCTAAGCAAGTTGGTAACTTTATATTTAGCTAAAAATAAAGACCATTACTGATTTTTGAAGCGGTAAAAGGATGTGCAAAAGCACCTGAGGAACTTAGTGAAAATGAAAACTCAGTTCATGAATGTAAACTGAGTTAGAGGACACAAAAGGCTTGGCTTAATCAACATTCAGCAAATCTTAGAAAAGGCACTTTCATTTTTTCCTTACCCCTCCTGCAATGTCAGCTCCCATAGCCTCCAACAGTTGTGTGACCTTGCCAGGCTTCAGTCCTTGCATCCTTCAGAGTCAAAGTGCCTTTCTCAGGGATCTGAAGATCAGGTCAGGACCCACCACCATCAGCCCTGTTCAGGTATAACCTGTTCCTCACTGGCACAGCGTGGATGGCATGGTGCAAGGAGTAGAGCTGGATTCCTGCTGCACGCTCCAGCTTCTCCCACCATGTAACCTGGTAGTGGGGCAGGCAGCCCATGCCCTCTGCCCAGCCTCACCACACTACCAGCTACACCTTTCACTCGGCCTTCTCCATCTTTCTTCTAAGGTTATGCATTCTGCCACTTACTTATTTATAATTATAACTTGGAAGAATCAGATGGGAGTTATCTTGTATCTAAAGTATGTGTGAGGGGGTGTCCCTACATTGCCCAGAATGGTGAAGGCTAGCAAGGACGTTGTTAGGAGACAACTCATCTCTTAGGAGCACCTGTCAGTCTCTCTTAGGAGAACTGACAGCACTGCAGACACAAAGATGAAGGAGCTGCCCCAGAGAGTCCTTAATGGTGTAGATATGAACTGTTTCTACTCATTGTGGACAGAGAAATCATGATAAAACATTCTACAAGGAAATAACCAGCACTGATGGAGTTTTATCATCATCATAATGACTTTAATCTCATTCTTCTCTCAAGGTAGCACATTTTTAATATCTGCTTTAATGTCTGTTTTTCTCACTTTCATGAGCTAGGAGAAGGCCTTACACATATTTCTCTACAAAGAATAACTACCTTAAAACATGGGGAAGCTGCAGCCAGCACAGCTTGACAGCTCTCTTATGATGCAACAAAGTCAAACCAGATTAGAAAAATACCTTTCATTGTTGCTACCATTCTGACTGCTATGTTTGGTATTGGGATTTCTGACTTGCTGCTTGCAAAATTGGCTCTGGAGCATTTACTGCACTGATGGGTGCCTGGAACACTTGCACTGACAGGATGTGTTCCCCTTAGCCTTATTTCTTGCACTGTTCTCCCTTCTCCCTCACTCAACCATACATATTTTCCCATAAATTTGAAAAATCATTCCAAGCTCCAAAATGAAAACTTATTTTCAATCCATTGCTGAGCAGAACTTGAAAACATTAGTTACTTCAGTGTTCAATTTCTGAAATGTTTTGTTGCCTTATGATTTTGATACACTAAAATATCTCCGATTCAATTTTTTCTCATGTATGGAAATATTATTACATGCATTTTAGAATGGACTTTTTATTTCATCAGAATTGGTCGTTTACATTATGTACAACTTAAAATATGGGAAAAATATTAATAGAAAACAATTCAGTACTGAAGGACTACAGTGCTTACATTACTATCCATATTCCATATTCCATATTCAAATTTGTGATGGGAGTTGGGATTCTTACCTCCTGAGCTATACCAGTCCCATAACTCAGTCCAGCCTCTGCTTACTGAGGTATCAGGTCTTCCAGCAAGCAGTTGTCAATACCACTGGCCCCAGGATCCCCATCTGCCATATGTCATTGCTGCGGGGGAGCTCCTGTAAGTGATAAAAGAAAGGTCACTCACAGTAAATACCTGCCATCTGCTTAGAAACTACAGCAGTCTCATGGAGATAGGAGCAATTGGAAATATTCCCACAGAGCTGTAAATTGTTACCAAGAACAGGTGATTTATTATTTTACAAGTCATTTAGTTAACTGGCCTCACTGAGACAAGAGGCTTATTACTGTTGAGAACAATATGGGGAGGGAGTAGAACTGGGTGATCCATGAAGGAAGGTGCTCCACTTTTTTACTGAGAATCAAAAGTGCTTTTTGTTCTTCATCATTTCTCACTAATATTGTCCCCCTTCTCCACTAGCTGTGATGATAATGCAGCATAGAACATTGCTATTGCAGAAGCATGAAGCAGAAATAAATTATTTCAGGAGTGGGAGAAACTGCTGTCATGGAGGCTGCAACAGTGCAGTGATGGAGTTGAATGTAATAGATTGTGGGATTTCCTTCCTTCAGATTTCCAGTAGCCAGAAAATATTTAATTTCAGAGAGGAAGGTGCTGATTATCTGCTTTTTGGAATCACACTTGAAGCTGTGGGTACTCCTTTGCTACCTGGTGCGTGGGGATCAGTGATGTATGCACAGTCCAGGGGAGACAACAGGCTGAGCCAGACCATGCAGAAGGGTTATCTGATGGTACCTTCATCAGGGATGGACTTCACCAAGGAATGTTGCTTTTCAGACATAGCCAAGATTTGGCTATTTTATAAGAAAACCTTTCTTTGTTTTATGTTTTTCTTGGTTTTTTGTTTTCCAACAGCCAGTATGTGGTGATTTTATCATTGTTTCTTTTGATTTGTAGCTTTCGTACTGAAGTGCGGTCACACTGTGAGTGCTGACTATGCACACTGCACAGTTAGGGCACTGATACAACAACAGAACTCAATTCTGATCCTTTTTTGGCAAATCTCCTGTTATAATGAGGGAGCGAAGAGATCTGTCAGCTGGTTTACATCTGCCAAAGATTATATTATCAGTTAAAATAAAAGCTAGTATCAGAAAGAAGAGTTGGGTAAGAGGAATGGCCTTTCATAGCACCTGGTGTTGTATAGGCTCTGCACGTACAGAATTCTTCATGTAGGGTGCAGATAGTTAAGCTGATGCAGTGGTGACAGCTTTGCAGTTTCCAGAAGCATTTATCATATTTACGACTCATGTTAAGGAACCCATGAGCAAGAAGCTCTGCATCTAAGACTGCAGATTTCTAGAAACATCTTGATTCTTCCCCATGGCACCTGTGACATGAATCCACATCACCCAATAAAATGTTAGACAGATGCTGAGTCTTAAAATGAGACTGAGAAAAGCATATCACTAAAACAGAAACATGGAAAATAGGAAGTGTGACAACTATAAGTTGTGAAATATGCACATTTGGCTAAAAATGGACTCAACTGAGTGTGGCAGTCTCCATTTTCTATCCTAAACTTTCACAAATAGAGAAAGAAAAACAATGAAGCACACAGGAAACAGCTTGCATGCAGCTTGTTTAAGAGCTCTTCAAGCCTCATAAAACAAGGTGGACAATCAATAGAAGCATACATATTACAAGGAAAACTAATGTCAGCCTGCATTTCCTGATAAGAAATAGTCATTAACAAGCCAGTGTTCCTCTTTGTACAGAAGCACATTGCAAGTTCAAAACCAGCTACGTGGTTTTAATGCTTACAGACAACCGTAGGAAGATGGAAATATTACTTGATCACATTAAAATTGGCATAATATTGAGTTATCTGTCTTCTTGTAATGCCATTTTGGAGTCACTTGACAGCAGCTTTACTGAGCTCCAAGGATCTCACCAAAGAGAAGTCACCTGTTCATCCATCATTTCTTTTGGTTTCTTTCAGCATCTGTCAGTAATAGATCTGTACATTTTTGACTGTGCATGTAAATCCCAGGGAATTATTAATATTAAAATAATGAGTTCTCTAATTGGAAAAAAAAAATTATTCTTTACATCATTTTTTTACAATCAGATCCTTGTAAAAATAGATTTTAACGTGGAAAGACAGGAGAAAAAAAAAACAGGATCTGAAATGATCAACTAAACATAGCATAGGAAATACTCATCATATTTAAATATATTATTTCCCTTTCCATTTTCATATGAAGGTTGCTCTAGAAATTGCAGCCCAATTTTCTCAGTAATGAACACGACTACTGGACAATATGTTTCTCTTCTAATTATGTTCAGAAACCTGGCACAAGGACTTCCTCATGATAGAAACCTGGATGTTGAAGTTGAAATGTACTAAAAGAGGGGAAGGTTGAAGTTTATTTTAGCAGTCACTTATTGAAGTTATCTAAGGCACACCCCATTCTAAAGTATACCTCTAGAATAGTTGTGCCAATTATTATTGTACTGCTAAGTATTACACTGACTATTTATGTATTTCAGAGCTTTATTTTCTTCTGAATATGAAGATAAATGACTTACACCGATACGTTTGGCATTTTAGTAGAAAAGGTCAAATATACCCCAGAAGACCTGCTTCTTTACTTCACAACTTTTCCAAGTGTGTTCAATCTCCACTGTTTTTACAGTACTGAGCACTACATAGACCCATGCTGTTTCCCTAAGCAGCGATTAGATCAGTATTAAGCAGGTGTAGTCTAGTGTGAGATCAAAGATCAAATGATTGAACTGAAAGCCTTTTAATTGTGGTTTAGTAGGAGCTATTGGGAATAGGTGAATGGTTGGACTGGATGATCTTTTAGGTCTTTTCCAACCTTGGTGATTCTATGATTCTATGATTCTATGAATTGAAATAATTGAATCTAATGGCAGCCATTCTAAAGGCTAGTCCAGTTTAAGGAATCTAAGTGCTTTTATGTAAAATTTAAATACGTACTCTGATTTTAATTTTTCCATTATGTTTTGGTTTTATATTTTTCAATGCAGATGGACCTTATGGACTCCGAGTCAAATCAGACAAAGGTCTGAAGGTAGGAGCGGTGTTTACCGTCAGCGTAGGGGAAGCCGTACTGTTCGACTGCTCAGCTGATTCAAACCCACCAAACACTTACTCGTGGATTCAAAGGGCTGACAATACCACTCATGTAATCCAATATGGACCCCACCTGGAAGTTATGTCTGATACGGTGGCTCAGAAGACAAGAGATTACATGTGCCGCGCTTTCAACAACATGACTGGAAAACGAGATGAGACTCACTTCACAGTGATCATTACCTCTGCAGGTAAGAACATTGATTCCTGGCTGTAACTATAGCTTCTGAGCTGATTGTCAGCCCAGGAAAAGGAAATTATTCTTAGAGCTCTAGAGAACATACGTATGAAGTCTTGCTAACAATGTACTAAGTGGGATTTTGGCCATTGTGGAGACTGAGGTATTACTTGCAGTGTGTCACAGCTTTAAATGAGACCCACCAAGATATCAGTGTTTTGTAGGAGTTTGACAGTAAAATATATTCAGCCATTCGGAGCTTTATGGAATGAGAAAATGTAGAAACCTTTTGGATGCCAGGACAAGCCCTTCCTCCCAAGGGCAGATTTGGTCCAAAGCTCACTGTCTCATTCTCTGCCATTCAGGAGCTAAGAGGGATCAGTGCATGGGAGAATCTCAAGCATACACCACTGACTGGAGTAAGCAGCCACAGACTCCCTATGTGATTAGGTATTATAAGAGCCCTAGTTTACTGTAGGATGATAATGCAAGCTGTGATGATGAATGAATAATTTTATTACAATCTGCTTGTAAAAATTATTTGCTTTCATATTTAAGAATCTGTGAATTAGCTACCAGGTTTTACTAAACATCTCCTGTATTTCCTATACTTTATAACCTCTGTTCCTGCATCAGATTGCATTAAACAGCAATAAGGCACTGTTCCAGGAAACGTCTAGAAGCACACAGCTATAAACAATATACTGAGAAACTCTGATATCCCTTATTAATAAGGATCTTTTTTTCAGATAAGGACTGTATAAAGTTAATGTTCAAAGAGATGCAATCAATTGCCTGTTAGAAAATTTAACAAAGCAACTTAACTTGTGCAGAACAAATTGCTCAGCCATTTATTAGTAAGATAAACAAGGGAGGCAGATTGTCCATTGTTCTGGCTGATATATAATCATCACAAACCTATGGAGTTCAATATGCTGAAAGGAAGTCAGGTTGCAATTTTGCAATGATAATGCTGCACTTTAAAGATTGAGTTAGAGGAGAAAGAAAAGGCTATGTGTCATTAGAAATAAGACTGACACTTCTCCAGAAGTTCATGTCAGCTACAATATGAATGAGTATATTCATCAGTAAGAATTAAGAAATTCATCCAAGTTCTCCTTTCAAAGTCCAAAAAGAAAAAAATCCAGAGCTTCATGTTTAGTCCCTTTTCAAAACACACACTTCCTAATTAAAAATATTTTACCTAAATAAAACTTTTCCAAAAAGTCAGTTTCCCTCCTCTACGGCCATTTCTTCTTGATATTCATTCAGATAGCACTAAATCACAGATGTTGAGCCAACACACTGCAAGGCAGCACTAGCTGAATCTAAGTGGTGTGAATTCACCCACCAGACTAAACCTCAGTGATACTGCCCAGGCTACATTCTGCTTAGAAATTAACACAATTTGTATAGAATTAAACATAATAAACAAAGACTATAAATATTCTTGCACATCCCTTCTATCTCTCCTGATAATCCTGGATAAGGGACCAACTTGTGCCTTTCAAAACACTGGCAATGTCTCTTGCACATTGAACAACCTGAAGAGTGGAAAGTTATCAGTTGTCGTAAAGCATTCGGTCTGCACTGATTTTTTCTTTTCCCAAAAAAGGCATTCTCAGTTTTCATGTGATGATTTTCAGTCTAGGAATTGCTTGCTCTCTGTAATTGTAATTCCTTAGTAGCAATCCAGAAAAGAAAAAAAGAAAAGAAAAGAAAAGAAAAGAAAAGAAAAGAAAAGAAAAGAAAAGAAAAGAAAAGAAAAGAAAAGAAAAGAAAAGAAAAGAAAAGAAAAGAAAAGAAAAGAAAAGAAAAGAAAAAACAAACCAAAAAACTTGAAAAGCTTGGGTATATGTTTGTAATACAAGAGACTGTCCAATGTGGTTTCCACAATGTTACTGCTTGTATACGACCATCTTTGTGATATTTGCACTTTGTGAGATATTTCATTTTAGTTATTAAGTAAGAGCACAACCCAAGAGACAAACAGAGTTGTGCTGGTGACCAGCGAATTGTCCTTTCATGCATGGAATAGGAAATACACACAATACTAGGACCGCAAGTTAGATAGAAAGGGCTGGCTCCAGCCATTTGGGAAGGCCTAACAGCCTGCAGGTAGAGGAAGAACTTGTTCTGTAGGCAGTATGCTATGAACAGGAATTGTGCAATCCACCTTAGAGATGGATCCTAGAGATGAGGAAGCTTGTTGCCTTCTGTTTGCTGCCATGCCAGAAGAGAAAATCTACCCTGCCATCTAGCTAACTGTGGGCTACCATATGAAGAATTAACTTACAACGCAGCAGGGAGCCATGTGTATGGGAGTATGTATGTGAGATCTCCACAGCCATGCTGAAAACAAATACACCATGAGCTTTCTTACGTCACGTTTTCTCAGCAACTCCTTCCCATCTAGACTCAAGCTGCAAACATGGGAACTCCCAAGCTTTCTGTTGAGAAAAAAATTGCAGAGCTAACCAACCTGAGGGCCATCTCACACTGGCATGCAGGAGCAAAGCTCTACTGGAAACCACACTGGGCTCATGAGTGGCTGTGGGCCCAGTGCCATGGCTGGAACAAGAAGGGCACCTCTTCTGTTTGAGCAGTGAGTCTTCTGGTGCTCATAGCTTCTTGAGAAATATTTTGTGCCTGGGAAAAGAAAAAACAGTTTCTAAATAAAACCTATTTCATCTAACTCAAGAATCAATTAATGTAGTTCCTCCAGCACCAACACATCAATAAGGGAAATAAATGAAATAATGGGGAAATCACGATTGTCAACTGACCTTTGACTGTAAATATGCAAGTGATGTATTCAACCTTAATTTAACCCACCAGTACCATCTAGACAATGAAAGCATTTGCTCAAGTTGCTGTCTTGGAACAATTTTAAAGAGTTTGCTTTAGGGTGATTTATAAAAATGCATATATCAGTGTGATAATAGCACTTTAACCAGAACAGGAGACTAAATACAGTACTCATCTTTTTTTGACACAGGACTGGAAAAATTGGCTCAGAAAGGAAAATCTTTGTCATCTCTTGCAGTAATAACTGGAATTTCATTATTTTTGATCCTAGTTATGAGTTTTCTATTCATATGGAAAAGATATAAGCCACTTAAAGGTATGTAAAAGTTAAGCACACTCCAGCTATTCTTTTGGAACATTAGAAGATAAAGAATGATTTTTCTTTTTTCTGCTCTTTTCAGTGATACAACAGAAGCTGCAGAGAAGGTACAAAAATAAAGCATTCTTACATTTTGAAGTCCTTTCCACTATGAGAATTGAATTTTATCATACTAACTTTCTTCCCTTATCTTTTGATACCAAACTGAAAAATGTGTTTATGTTTTCTAGGCCAGAGGCTGACTACAGAAAGGCACAGACATTTTCAGGTAATGCTAATGGAAGAAATATGAGCATAAGGTCAAATTTCATTCTTGCAAAAAATTGGCATCTCTAAATGCAAAGTAAAAGGATAGGAAGTGGTTTTAACTGGAGTTAGAGACTTTTATGCCATCTCTCTTAAGATAAAACCTGAAGGACTACATGTCAGTGTAGGTTTGACTCCTGTTTAGAGTTTATTATATACTTTGTATCCTGCTATCTTGAGCTCAAGCTGTTAAACTAGGTTAGAACCACTTGTGTGCCCACTTTTCTCTCCAGCATGTAATGTGTGTTATGAGTAATGGCCCAAGAGACGAGAGTCAAAAGATCTGCTAGAGAGGGGTGAGTTAATGAGGGTGGATAGAGACCCACCCCAACTACTACAAATTGCAGCTGAAGTCCCACATGCAACTTGTCAAGTGGCTTAACAATCATGTTCACTTATTATGTTCTATTTTTTTAATCAGCTAGATTATAGAAGATTCAGGTGGAACTGTCTCACACTATGATATGCTGAGCTTGTGCTGGGCTTCTTGTCTGTGGGAAATGAAAACAGATGGGTCTGTTTAGACTTCCAGTAAAGTCAGTTCCAATGGCTCTTGCAGAGTTGCTGCTGAGGTTAACCAGAAGCTCTGCGCTTGGTTCCAGGCACTGTACATCCCCAATCAGTAGAGAGGCAGCTTCTCTGCCTCACTCCAGGCCAGCTCAGTGATTTAAAGTAATTTAAAGTAGATCAAACAACCAATATTCACATTTATTTTCCTTTATTAGAGAAATGTGGTTTCCCATCCGTACTTAAACTTTTTCAATTTTGTATTACATCTTGATATGTTTTTCATTTTTGTTTGTTTTAACTTTAGGACATGAAAGTGCTTTGGATGATTTTGGGATATATGAATTTGTGGCTATTCCTGATCATGGCAGCAGTTCCAGGGTATGTGATTTTACATCACAGTGATGGTTTCCTTTCTGTTTCTGTGAATACCTGCACTCTAGTCGTTTTGTCTGCTTGCTCTTGCTTTTCACAGATGTTTCATCACACCATATTCATCACTGTTGTTTATGTAGTATTTGTTCTTTCTTTACTGTGTTACTAGTTCAGTACTGGCACAGTGCAGTAGGGAACTTATCAAACTCTAAAGGGAACAATCTCAATCCAGATACCCCACATTAAAAAAATAAGAGTAGTGTTAGGTAGATGGGTAACACCAAACCACTCACTGCCCTACAAGCAAATTAATTGTTGCAATGACATTTTCTTCTTTATTGCTGTTCATACAACATACAACTTTGGCAGTTCAGAAAAGCTACAGGGGGTATTTAAAGTATTGTTTATAAAAATAAATGTCATCTATAACATGTGATGTCAGATGATGAATACAAACAAGAAATTGGCCCACAGAAGATCAGACCCTAAATCATCCCAGTCACAAGCATCCTGTCATCCCTAGGGCTGACCATACCACAAATTCACATCATTATTAGGTATCCTGCAGAATTAGGGCACTGGTCAGAGAGAAGGGGTGACCAGAAAAGAGTGGATATGCAATGAAATTCATTCTAATCTCCAGCACCATTTCAAGAAACAGCTGTTCAGAACTGTGGCACGCCGATAGAGTCAGGATTTGATTTTACATTCATTTTAATTCGCAGAAAATGGAAAAGTAAAAAAACAGAAATGATAAAAAACTGGAATTTGGGCATAGGCAGAAAAACAATGGAAAGTCCTGATGGATTTGGAGTCTAGATGCTCTGATGACATAAGAACTGATTCATATATGTAACATATTAAAAAAATTCATTATTACTACTTTGTTCACTCACTCTGATGGGAGTTTTGTCCTGAGCTCTTTCCCTGACTATTTTCTCCTTTTTCAATCTTTATTCACTTACTTATCTCTTTGATTATTGACTGTTCCTTCCTTGACATGTGGTACAGTAATATAAAGTAGCTGCTGTATTAAATGCAAAAGGTACATCCTAAATCTTCTTAGATTCAAATTGATTTTAAATTATTACTTGTATTACTATAATGTGACAAAAACTTGCAGAACAAAATGTGAACCAATAGGGATGAAGTTCTGCATCTGTGCCCAAAGTGTTGACGGAGAAGAGCATTGTTAAAAAAAAAAAAAAATGATAAGTTACATTATCAATTTTATTTCTGTGGAACTTTTATCAATTTGTACTTACAGCAGAAACATTCTTTGCTACTTTTAGGTTTCAAGTCAGCCTGTTCAAAGCTCTGACACTGCGCCAGGCCAGGACGTACTTAGTACAGTTTATGAAGTCATTCAGCATATTCCCAATCAGCAGCAGCAGGACCATCAACAGTAAGTTATAACCTGTATGCACACATGTGGTAGCTCAAAGACAAGGACTTCCGTGTGTGACTGAGACTGAACAATTCACACATTAATGGCTGGTGTTGATTCCAGTGAGAGGGTGAAAGCAGCAAAAAAATGCAAGATACATCATTCCTTCCCTGGTCTGTGTACAATCCCCCACCTTCACGACTCTAGCCTGAAATTTTATCATGCCACCTTTGTCTAAGTGTGAAGAGAGAGAGTTAAGATCTTCAAACACCATTTCAAAGGAAAATTCCCAAGTGCTGTAAGAGTTTCACAGCACTGAGTTCTGAGCAATTCCCAGTCAGCAGGTTAAATCTTCAGACAAAGACCTGTCAGCCATGTTCCAAAAAAAGTTGGGGGTTTTCTTCAGTGTTGAAACTGCTCAATTGACCGATGACCAAAGACTGCTTGCAATGGTCATAGAAATACTAACAGGCAGTGCTTCGTTATCTGAGTAGCCGATGTCTTAATTTGGATCTTAATTAATAATTTAGAGCGAAAGAAGTAATGTTCTGCAGTACTCTGGCTGGTACTCCTGGTTTTGTTCACCTTCTTTGTAGTACCTCTTGGCATAAGAATAGCGAACGCACTGTAAAGTTTTTGTCATGGCTGTATAGCTGCCATAAATCTACTCTGAATTTTGGCTGTCTTCCTTGCGAATTAACAATAGCTCACAAGACTTTATTTGTTAACAACCCTATTTTATCACATTTTCCACGTTTTTACTATCTGTTCAGTTTTTCTTAATGGTTGAAAAGAAAAGCACATATTCTTCAAATATACTAAGCAGTTGGCTGGGTATGTGACAACATTAGTGTTCAGTATTTACATTACTAGACATTACAGGTTACAATTGCAACTGTGCATCTGAATTATGTATTTGTAACCATGATTATAAAAGAAAGCTGACTGGTGACAAGCAAATAATGAATTACTGATGACACTTTTGTATCAATCAGATTTTTTAAATCAGGTGTAAAAATAGCAATCATAAAGTACATTTTTTTCTTAATTGTACGTCTCCCATCTCAACTTTTTTCACTGATACATCACTCTTCTACATGGGTTCAAAGTGAAGGCAAATTGAATTTTGTGACAGTTCAGATTTCAACTCAGTATTCTGTAGTTGTAGAGAATTCATTTGCAAAGCCACGTTTCACTCTCTTCTTTAACCAGATTTTACAAAAGAAGTATGGGAGCAAAATTTCCACTAACAAAACCGGGGGGGGCAGCTGAACATGATAAAGGGTAAATGACTCCGCTTAGAAAAACTGCTCTTGTGAATTTTCCAATTCCTGATCTACAGCAAAGAAGCACTCTGACTAGTGAATAAATCAGGATAATAAAGTCGATACTTGGTTTTGCAGCAGGATGCCTCAGCACTATTAGGAAAAAGTAACACGTCACAAAACAGAGAATGGAACTGGGGAAGTAATTCCAAACTCCTGTAGTGCTAAGCAGTGATTGCCTATGGATGGGCTCCTTGGACTTGATATGCAGGCATCTGTACAGTAGCCAGCTACATTCATGGAGAATGACAGAGGATTTTCCTTCATTCTGCTGACAACGGGAGTTTCTCTTTTTAAAAAACAAAATAATGGATGTTAAGGTAGCTGAACAGGTCTCCTCCTGTGCAAGTGATGATTTTGCTCATATTCTCAGTAGTCTTAACGGGGACTGCTGTCATTTCATAATTTTACTAGAATTAAAATCATGGAAAAATAGGTTAAAAATGTGGTTTCATAATTTAATGCCTAGATTTTCAGCCTGAAAATGGTCCAAATCCTCTCTATGAACCTGATGTCTGCACTGTCAGCTGATGCTCTGTCTCTTGCTATAGAAATCCCAGTGACAGTGTTGGCAGAACGCTCTGGGAATCACTTTTTCCTAACAGTTTTCCTTACACTTTTGTCATCTTTTTCATTCAGACACACACATGCATCTATGCCTCTAAGCACTAATTAACTGTAAGATGTTTAACTGTGCTGCAGGTCTTAAAATACAAGAGTGCTGCAGAAAAGTAATTAAATACTTAAACTCCCCTTGGTTTGAACTAAGGGATTCAATATCTAATTACTGTTAAAAAAAAAAAGTGACCTGGGCCAATAGCTGGATTGGCACTTTTGGGTTTTATAGTGATATTAGTTGCTACATGCAACATTATTTTGCAGGTTTGCCCCCTCTCTCCCAAGAATTGAAGTGGAAACATGAGATATGTTTGTGAGGAAACTGCTGAGCTCTATTTCTGGGAGAGACAGTCACAGGAGGTTATGTGGCAGCAGCATATTCAGTAATTGCATTAAATGCACTCCTGCACATATTCTAAACTACATATCAGTAGTGACAAACTGGACAACAAACATTCCACATATTGCCAACCCATGACACATATGAAAGAGATCATAAAATGGCTGCAAAAGCCATCGAGCAAGTTTAACCAGTTCTTGTAAGTAAGCTTTGACAGTTCACATTCCTGTGACTCTTTAGCAGGTGCTGAGTGCATTACTGCTGAAAATACATGAAGAACTCAAAATGTTTGTACCAAGAAAGCAGCAATGTGCTGTGCTGTATTAGCACTGATGGCATAATTTATTTGTAGCTCAGACATGTTTTGCCACTGGTCTTACCTTTCAAAACTAGAGATCGTTTAATGTTCATAGTAAAAAATCAGCCAAATATACCCTCATTCATGCTAAAGAACTGTTCTCCTTTTGTGCTTAGAACTGCTGCTTTCGGTATATGTTTGCAACAGTGTTTTTTAATAAAAATAAATAAGGAAGGCATTGTGGACAACCATTATCATGTCTGTTCTTTCCTAGATGTATATGAAGGCACAGAACAGGAAACCAAAGCATCTGAAAATACAAAACTGACCTTCTTTACTGAAAGGAAATGTAACCACTCTAAAAATGGCAAAGGCTTACGCCAGCTTATCTTCAGACTTTGGGTGCTTTTTAATTGGTATTTTCTTGAAGAATATGTCTTGTTTTTCACTTTTACTTTTTTGTCCTTGTTCACGGCTACAAGAAAGCAAACGGACAGCTTAAAAATTGTGGTATGCAAGCCTGTGCATTTCACTATAATGATGGGAGGGAAGGACACCAAGGTATCAAGACCACAATGTCTCCCATACATTATTTTTTTTTTTAATGAAAAAAAATGCAACAACAACAACAACAAAAGCAACCGTGTATGGGTTATTCATTGGAGTAGATTTTTACAAGAGGTCTCCATGAGAAGTAATAGATGCAATTTGTCAGATTGCAATAGACATTTGAAGTTTAAAATCATTCTTTTAACTCTTTCAATGCAACAGTATCTTTTAATCTACCATCTTAGAAACTGATCTGCAAGGCAGTTATAGTACAAAAATGTACATATGTATATTATTCGAAGTAATGTGTTCTTATTAAATTTTATTTCCTTTGCACTTGAAGTGGTTCTCTATTTGCTGCCAAAAAGTCTGGTTTTCATTGAGTAGAAGAGCAAGCAATATTTAGATAATTTCTGAAAGCTACAGAATGTATTGTCTCATATAGGCTGTATATACATTACAATTCTACTCCTCCAGGGCAAACGAAATACATCTTACTCTTTATACAGACAAGGTGCCACAAGCCCCTTTCCAAATCAGCAATCTTTCTCCCAAAGATCTTTTTAGCAGGTGTCTGAGTCCTACAGGAAAATTCCATATTATTTACATAGGGTCAGCTATTAGGAAGCTTCAGTTAGCATCAGCTGTGCAAAAGGGGAATTATGAATCAGAATAGTCTTCAGACATAAAAATGATAATTAAAAAAAAGTAATTTAGTAACAACTAATTTGGAAGCAAATCATTAGGATTAGTAATGAGAAGCATACAGTATGCTCACCCTTTAAGAGAAGCTGTAAGGGGTTATCTAAAGGATCCACATTTTAGAAAATAATCTGCATTTTTATAAACACTTCCCTAATCCATGTTTACCATACGTTCATTTGTCCACTGATGAGCATGAAGAAGTAGGGTGATGGGTCTGAACTCAGAGGGGAAGAAGGAGACTACAGGAGCAGCAACAGCAGCCAAAGCAGCTCTAGCCTTTTGCACCTAACCACAAAGTGGTGTGTAGCACTTTGTCTTTTCTTACTCAGGTATTACATAGCTTCAAGATGATTCATAAGAATATTATAGAATGCTACTTTGGGTTTTCACAATTACTAATACAAGAATTGTATTGGCTTTGAAGCATTAATCTTCTCTTAAAGGGCAACAAGCTAATATTCCACAAGCCATTTAGCAGGCTAAAGGTATCCTGGGCTGCTTATCTAGTGTGTTGCCAGCAGATCAAAGGAGGTGACACCTCCCTTCTAGCCAGCACTGTTGATTCACATCTGGAGTGCTGGGCCCAGTTCTGAGCTCCCCAGTACAAGTGTAATATGGACATCCTGGAGCCAATTCAGCAGAGGCCACAAAGATTAAGAAGCAGCATCTGATGAGGAGAGAACTGGGACTGTTCATTCTGGAGAAGAGAAAGCTAGAGAGGATATTATCAGTGCTTATAAGTATCCAGTGGGAGTACAAAGACAACAGTGGAGCACTAGTCCATGGTGCCCAGTGACAGGACGGGATAGACACACATGAACCAGCTGCCCAGGGAGGCTATGGAGATGTTTCAAATTCCGATACTTCTCCATCCTTGGAGATATTTGAAACTCAACTGGATACAGTTTCTATCAGGCTCTGAGCATAGGTACCCTCCAGCCTCAACTGTGCAGTGACTCTGTGAGCATGGACAGGGAGATGGTGGGGAACAAAGATAGCTCTCAGCAAAAATGACACAAGCAGTTATAACAAAATGACTTCATGTTAATGTTAATAGTCTGCATACTTTCATTAACCACTCCCTTGACAAAAACAGAGGACTCATTTCTTCAGCTACACTAATACAAAGACAAAATACAAGCACAGTACTGTGTATTTGCTTACAATTCCTTAACCAAGGCAAGGTAAGTAATTATCACCTGAACCATGAATAGGAAGAGGCTATTGCTTTGTAATAGTGGGTTAAAAGGCACTTTTTAACATTTATTTTCTGTAGCTTTTCTTTCTTCTTTTTTGCCTTAATGCAATGAAAGGCTATCATATTTCCTCTGGCCTTTCTTCAGCATAATTTTTTTGGAAATCTGTCACCACACTGCTACAGACACATCTGTATCATACAGCTTTCTGGGAGCTGGATGGCAATAGTTACCCACAGGAGATGGCAGGAGGTTCTGGGCAAGTGCTTGGGACAGAGAGCAGGAGAAAGGAAAGGGAGATGATACCAGTAAACACTAACTTGTTCTGACAGATGTGGAAATTGGACACGTCCCAGGTGACTTCTGCATTTGAGGTAATACAGTGTGTAACTGGGCACTCATTCTTCTGCCTCCTACAAGAGGCTTCCTAACTTAAAACAGCTACTTCCTATGTAAGTAAATGGCTGTGATGAGAATATTTTTGCAGCAAACCAAACTTCTTTTTATAATGCCACTATAATAGAATGTCATTGAATTCTCTATTCAAAAATGAAAAAAAAAAAAAAATGCAGAATGCTGTTCATACACAATGATTAAAAACATCCAAGTGCAGGCTGCAATTTTTATTGTAGGCTGAAAATTTTAAATCCATGACAGGCTATGCAAAAATGTTTCTTCAACAGGTTGTTCTCAATAAGTCTGCTGTGGGTACATTCCTGCAGAGTAGAAGCCCTCCTCCCTCACTTCGTTTCTGTGGGGCTGCAAAGCTTTTCTAGAGAGAAAAGAACTGCAGCAAATATTTCTGAACACTTTGCCAATTGATACAAAAGGATCACATCATAAGGAGCACAACTGATGCACCCTCGGAATGGAAAGGGGAATTTTTCCTGTGCTTGTTATAAGACAATTAGGAAGAAAACCCAAATAATAATAATAAAAAAAGATCATTCTTTCATTAAAATCTGTGGTATATAAACAATAGACAAGGAGCCTAGAAGACAAACAAAAGATTAAACATCTAAGGATCCCGTGCAAGACAAAGTTTACATCAGGGTTCAGTTACACATGCAATGCAAACACCAGCGTGTTGATGGAAATCCTGCTCCACCTAAAAAAATAACACACATACATCTCTCCAGGCTATGCTCTGCTTTCCAGGGCAAAGGACAAAGCTGTTGGTCACAGTGGGCCTGAAAATTCATACAGACCTTAATGCAGAGATATTAGGGCAGGCCTTCTAAACTAGCACACCTCATGCAACAGCAGACTGACCAAAAATAAAATCATGTTTAGAAATGTATTTTGTAATGTCAACACAGATTTTCATCATGATATATGCAGTTCTAAAAACTACTTTCTGTATTGCTTTTTTTTTTCTTCATAAGAAATGAATAAAGTTGTTCTGCTAAGGCGACACAAAAGCTCACCTGAGAAAACAACAGAACTGTGTTGGGAGTCATCTGTGTATCTTCCTTACAACTCCACTCTCCTCTTTGACTTCATCTTGCTGACTTTTGATATTTTTCAAGTCATATTCAATTCTGAATCTGTCTTTGAAGCACTTTCCAAGTCCATTAAGTCTGTTATGCTTGTTCCCATCCATGTTTTATATAGAAATATCCAATATTACAAGTATATTCACTTATTGTAGGTCACTATTCTAAACATCAAGCCAGGACAGTTAGAAAACTACATTCCATTTAACTTTCTTTTCAGGTGTGCCTGAAATATACAGCCAAATGAAGTAAGACTTTGAGAAACAATATAAATGAGAAATCTAAATCATTTGGTTTAGAAAATTTGATCAGACAGGGAAGACTAAGAATTGTTTCATCTTGGTGGGAAGATACCAATAAAAGTAAGTCTTTTGGTATGTAGGAAATGTTCAACAGAAATAGAGACTGTGATTATTTTTTCTTTTCAGTAAAAGGAGGAAAAGGAGGAACCTACTCAGAAAACTCAAGTTAGATAATAATAAATAGGATCTAGGAAAATGGGCACTATACAGAAGGAGTGGAGGAAGATGTCTGCTTCTAATAGATCGAATAGCTTGGATCCTAGCGGTCAGAGTTTGGTAAGTTTGTTCTCAACACACCTGATAGCTTGGCTTCCTCCAGCCCTCTGTTCCCCAGGCACACAAGGTAGGCCCTGCTGTTCAGTGCTGGCCACACACCTCAGGGCAGCCTGAGAATACATGCTGGGGTCCAGCCCCCAAGGGTCCTTGCTGCCTCTCTGTACTGCTACCAGCACTGAAGCTGGCTAATTAGGCCACGTTTGCACCAGTTGAAGGCACAGCAGTGTGTATCTACACGAAAATGCTACAGAGCTCAATCACACAGATCATCACCGCTCTGCAACTGCCTGCCAGCATAGGTAGAGCCTGCAGCTAAGTAAGCGTGGGGTGAATGGCACTCCAAACATCAGTTCTGCTGGCTGATAAACCAAGAACTATGGTTGATGGTTGATACCAGGCACATTGAACCTCAGCCCATGGGTCACAAGCAGCCCATCCTGCGGCCATCCACTGCCTTCATGGCAGCCCTGGGAACACACCCATCTCACAGCAACAACCAAACCACCTGCTGTCTCAGCTGAAACAAAGACATGAGGAAGGTGTAGGGCAGTGCTAGCTTCACCTCCTGCACTTGCCCCAAGTGTGTGTTACGGTGAATAAAACAAAGTGATTACCATAATAATATTTCAACTCATCTACTGGCTTCTCAAAAGAAAACAGAACCCCGAAAAAGAAAAATTGTGGGTGAAAGAAGAGTGTTCAACAAAAAATGGTCAGAGGACTTTTTTGTCAAGACCAATAATATGACACTATGCTTAATGTATGTGGAAATTATGTCAGCTTTCAAAGATTGCAATTTGAAAAGGTACTATAAGCTGAAATGTGCTGCCAAATGTGATGTATATCAAGGAATGTTTTGTAAGGACAAAATAGTAGAACTGAAAAACAGTGTCGTCTTAACAATTTTTTAAAAGAAGGTAAAACTTAAATGCACTGTTATAAAAGTTAGCTATGTGATAGCAAATCTGACAGCAAAAAAATCAAAGCAATATTCTGATGGTGAGTTTATTAAGCAATCCATGGAAAGTGTGGCAGAAGAATACCGATTAAAAGAATGGATTTTTCTAAAATCAGTTTGTCTCACCAGACTATAGAGAGGCAACTTGAGGAAATAGGAAACTATCAAAGGAACTTTGGGGAGCAAAGATGCTGATTTCAAATTTTATGCTTTGCTGATAGATGAAAGTATCGATGCTACAAATCAGACTCAACTTGCCATTTTCATTAGAAATACATAATAATAACAAACATAATGTCACTGAAGAAATCTCTTCTTTGGTGCTATTAAAAGACACAACCAAATCTCTTGATTTGAACAAAGCAGTAAAAAGTACATTAAAGCAATTTTCTTTAACCTCTGTCACTGT